AATTTTATAGATGATTATCTAGATAAAATTTTTTGACGTCACTTTTATGTGGATAAGAAAAATATGCTTAGATAAAAAGAGTGTTATCCAAAATAATATTCTGGTTAATAATACCGTATGAATTTTTTCCATCACCTTTATACTTTGGATTTGCTGTTACATCTAAATAAAATTTTATAGATGATTATCTAGATAAAATTTTTTGACGTCACTTTTATGTGGATAAGAAAAATATGCTTAGATAAAAAGAGTGTTATCCAAAATAATATTCTGGTTAATAATACCGAATGAATTTTTTCCATCACCTTTATACTTTGGATTTGCTGTTACATCTAAATAAAATTTTATAGATGATTATCTAGATAAAATTTTTTGACGTCACTTTTATGTGGATAAGAAAAATATGCTTAGATAAAAAGAGTGTTATCCAAAATAATATTCTGGTTAATAATACCGAATGAATTTTTTCCATCACCTTTATTATACTCAGGGTTAATGTTATCTCAATAAAATTGTATAGATGATCATCTGGATGAAAAAAGTGTTATCTAAAATAATATTCAGATTAATAATATCGAATGAATTTTTGCCGTCACCCTTGATACTCAGGTTTTGCTGTTATCTAAATAAAATTGTATGGATGATCATCTAGATGAATTTTTTGTTGACGTCGTCTTATATAGATAATAAAAATATTTATTAAAAATGTTTTTAGATGAAAAAAGTGTTATTCTTAGAATAATGTTCAGATAATTTAGAGTCATAGCACATAAAAATACTTGAGTAGTAAAGAATAAAAACTTATAAATAAAAGTATGAATATATTTTTATATCTCTTTTATAACCAACATTTTTTTAAATAACTATTTATGTAAGCCGTCATAAAAATAATATCCGGAAGTTATATATATATATATATCTAGATGAATTGTCATATAATTTTATCTTTTACCTATAGATATATTTAAACTAAAAAAATCGTTATCTTATCTAAGATGATTTTTCATCTCATCTTTATCCAGCTAATTGTAAAATCATTTAAGCTACAACACTGTTGATACACAACTCTCTTTATAACTAACAATAACCCTTAAATTAAAACTCCATTAAAGCAAACTTTCTATCTGAAGAATGTGATTTTGTTAATATATTTTATTTCCACAAAAACTTTTATAAAAAATCCTTTATTTTCAACCTACCATACAGGATCCCGAACTCGATAATGGGGGGGGGGGGAAGACAAAATTTATTTGGTCCAATATTTCTCTGAATTCGCAAGAGGAGATCCAATCCCAACATTAGTTAAACACCTCGCAAAAGTTTCTCCGCAAAAACCCAGCAACAAAAAATCTTTCCGGCCAAAAAATCCCGAATCACTCGGTGTACATTCATTTCCGTCGATTCCCATCAAGGAACAACATCTGTAATTATCATCAAGGAAAGACCCATGATTCATAAAAATGAAAATCGAGCGTGTCCCTAGCGAAATCGGTAGCGCGCAAAGCTGGATCCCGGAGAGCGGAATCGTTGGCGCCGACGTCGTCGTCGTCGTCGTCGCAGGAAAGGCTCTCGCAGAAAGAGAGAGGCGAAAGATGTATAGAAAATCTGGTGGCGGGCTATCTCTCTCTGGGCGTCGCGGGGGAATGACGTCACGTCGTTGCTAAAGCGACGCGGCAACGCGAGGCGTCTGCGTGGGTCGGTGGGTGTCTGGGGGTCCGGGATCAATAGCGCGCGCCAGCAACCAGGTAGTAGGTATGGGTGCATGTAGCTTTCTCCACGGTGGCAGTCCAGGAGACGAACCTCGCGAGGTAGGACACTTTACGAGTCGAGCGAGAGAGAGCCGATCGAGAAGGCGAGGAAAGATAGATTAGGTAGATAGATAGATAGAGAGAGCTAGAGTGGGACAGACAGTTCGGCGGCCTGTCAGTGTCGGTGCCGGAGAAGAGCGGCGCTATGCCAATAATCGAGCGTAGCAGTGGGGTGTCCAGCGTCTAGGACTGTCAGCCTCTCCAGGTAAGAAGGGTCCAGCGGCAACCTCTTCCGTTTTCCGAATCTCCGAAATCTCGTCTCCGCAAATTCCCGCGGCGCGATTCACCGCTCGGGAATCAGTGACAGGGAATTCCCGGGACTACTCGCTCTCTATCTCTCCCTCTCTCGATCGAGGGAGAGACCGAGAGTGTGTGTGGAGCGCGAATTGGACAGCATGCGGCTGTCCAATCTGTAAGTCGATCGAGACGGCGTGTGATGTGTGTAAGGTAAATCTTGAGGTAGGAGCATCGAGCGGAAGAAGGCGAACGACTGTCAGAGGACCAGCCGCGAGGGATAGATAGAGCGAAAGGGGATAAGTGGGAGAAACTGGCATAGATTGGCAGATAGATCGGATAAGTACGCACGCACGCACGCAGGTAGCTAGGCGGATGACAGCAGCGGGATGGACGGGTTTAGAGGGTTGATAGATGGACCCGATGGGCGGATCGACGGCAACGCCGAAACGAACGGACGGGACCGACAGATAAATATGGGCAATTGGCAGAACGGAAAGACGGATTTCGCAGATACGAACGTAACGGAATGCGGATGGATGGATGGATGTTGGGGTCCATCGCTCGACACTGTTCAAGATTGCGCGGCCCGAAAAATTTACTCATCCTTATCGAGATTCGCGAGATTTCCACTGTTACCTGACAATTCATCGAGCTATTTCGCTGGCGAAATTTTTTGTCTACAGAGTGTACCGAGATATTACTCTGAAATCCTGGTAATTGTGGAACAATTGTAGTATTGGAAGATTTTATTAGTTTCTCTATACGCGAATAGAATTTTATTGGAGAGATATCATTTGGAGACGATTTTTCTTTGGTGAAAACGTCGAGGAGGTTGTCATTTTTTTTTATATGTATTGAATTAAAATTCTATTGAAGTATAAACTCTGTTTAAAGTTAAGTGAAGAATGTGATTTTCTTGACACTGTTCAAGATTGCGCGGCCCGAAAAATTTACTCATCCTTATCGAGATTCGCGAGATTTTCACTGTTACCTGAGAATTCATCGAGCTATTTCGCTGGCGAAATTTTTCGTCTACAGAGTGTACCGAGATATTACTCTGAAATCCTGGTAATTGTGGAACAATTGTAGTATTGGAAGATTTTATTAGTTTCTCTATACGCGAATAGAATTTATTGGAGAGATATCATTTGGAGACGATTTTTCTTTGGTGAAAACGTCGAGGAGGTTGTCATTTTTTTTTATATGTATTGAATTACAATTCTATTGAAGTATAAACTCTGTTTAAAGTTAAGTGAAGAATGTGATTTTCTTGACACTGTTTTCAAGATTGCGCGGTCGGAAAAATTTACTTCTTATCGAGATCCGCGAGATTTCCCCTGTTACCTTACAAAATTCATCGAGCTATTTTGCTGGCTAAATTTTCATCTACAGGGTGTATCGAAATTCGTAAATCAAATGGTTAACGGCAGATTCCTCGGATCATTTGGAGACGATTTTTTTTTATCAACGAAAATGTCGAGGGAGGTTATCATTTTTTACATGTTCCTAATTTTTGACGTTGTTTATCTTTATACTAAATTTTTTTTGATTGAAATTTTATTGCGGTAAACTCTACCTGAAATTAAGTGATGAAGAATGTGATTTTGTTTATATTTTATTTCTACACAGAGAGAATTTTCTCTTAGAATTTACTCTGAAATCCTGGTAATTGTGGAACAATGTAGTATTGGAAGATTTTATTAGTTTCTCTACATCTAGCACAATAAGATACACTGAAAAAAAGATTTGTTAATTTAACTAAAACTTTCACCTAAATTATTATTTTGTTAATTGGACATACATTATATAGTATTTAAGTCAAATATACATTTTGTTAGATTTAATATATTATATTTAATTAATAAAATAATATTTAGTTGGAAAGTTTAGTTAACAATTTTTTGTTCCTATACAAAATATGTTCGATTAATTTTATTGTGGTATATTAATTGTGGTTCGATTAATTTTATTAATTAGAGAAACTCAGAAAATTCTGATCAACCATGATTTTCAGGGTAAATTCTAAGAGAAAATTCTCTCCGTGTATAAGACTTAATTTGCAAAAAACCCTTTTCAATGACTAGAGAATTCTAAAGTCGATAATGGGAGAGTTTCATAAAATTATTTGATTAATAGTGAAAATATTTTAGAAATAATTAGACTACGATTATGTCTTTTAATTTAGAAGAGGGTGGTTTTAATCCCGAAACTCCATCCCAGGATCCGCGCCAGTGTTTTCAAACGCTTATTAACTTGAAATTTAGTACCTCGACATTTTCGCCTGAGGAAAAATAGTCTCTAAATGACATCAGGAATTTACTATACAAATGGGTGATTCACTTTAGATAAGGGACACCCTGTATTTATAGAAATAAAATAATGAGCATTTCAATTTTTTAAAAATAATATCATAAAATAATATATATATATATTTGTGTAAAGAAAAATTAATAAGAAAGAGCGAACAAAAGATAGATCGAAAGGTGGCTTACATTCGCGTGAGTAATTCCGGAGAGGAGCGGTTATGAATATTAAGTTTTAAACGCGCTCGCGCGCTCTATGCTAATTTTATTTTTCCGTCGGATTTCGCTGAGCGATAAGCATGACGTATATTTCGCCATTAAAGTTGCATCAAGATTGATAAATTGCTGGGACGCGTCAAATATACGATGCCCATTAAACTATGGCGCGCAGATGCATTTTCGAGCGCTTTATTTACCCTCCATCAAATGGCTTTTATCAATCAATGACTGATCATGGTGAGATGATCAGTCGTTTCGTCCTGATAAACTAATTCGTCGCGGCTGAAATGCGCGTACATTCCTATACGTTATTACTGTATAATGACGATGACAGAGAGATACACACACACACACACATATACATACATATATATGGCAAACTAACTCGGGGCATGTGTCGTAAATCGCTTGCTGCCTCCTCGCGGTAACCTACCCGCACACTCTTCTTCTTTGTCACCATTTGTCAGCACCGTACCTAAATTATGAGTTATGGTGTCCGCGTGGTCTATTCTCGTAGCTCAAGTATGAAGAAAGGGTTTATTAAACTCCCGGAGCGAAAAGGAGCCCGAGAAATCGATGTTCTTTCAATACACACGCGATAAATTTCACTTCAATTTTGCGCGAAACGTTCAAAAAAAGATTTCCTCGAAATTGATTACCGCGACTCCGCTCATTATCTCTCGACGCTTTTAGAGATGACTTTGCTTCGAAACACGTTGCTTCCCGATAATGAAATTAATCCGCGCTTTGTATATCGCGAGATGTTACATCGAGTCTTATATAGACGATCAATAAGGAGTGACGAGAGAGGCTGAGCTTGTTATCTCCGTCCACCGGCGAAATGCTAATTCGCTAATGATAGGGTATTAGCGACAAGAGCGTAATTCACGAAGCAAGATGTTTTGCGGCGACGAAGGTTGCTACCAAGGATGCTCTCTCCTCGGCGCCAAACGACTTTGAAATTACTAATTGAAAAGGACCCTCTTATTATATGTGCTCGCCTAGCTAGCTCACTTGTTTGCCGTTCGCGTACAGATCTCGTTAGGCGCAATCACACTCAATCATTGTCCCCCATCCGGTCGGGACAAAGTACCGGACAGTCCGTCAAAATCATTTTCGCGTCGACGTGTGTACGTACTTTGTCGTGCGTCGTCGATTACCGGGCCTCAAATGGCAAATAACAGGTAATAGTCCAACCATGAGGAGGAATATTCCACGGAGAAAATTGCGAAACAGCGGGGATGAATAAACACAGAGTGTCTTTGGAATTAGCGGTCATCTGTTCATTTCGGGACGATTTTTCCTCGGCAAAATTATCGAGGTGCCGACAATTCATTTTCGAGTTTTAATGACGTCAGTTTGCTACTTAGGTTATGTCCACATGGTTTTAGTTTCGCGAAAAACTTTTTGACGTTATTAAACGTCAAAACGACGTCATTTTGACGATTAATGACGTCATTTTGACTTTTAATGGCGTCAGTTTGCTACTTAGGTTATTTCCATAAGGCTTAGTTTGCGAAAAACTTTTTGACGTCATTAAACGTCATTTTGCTACCCGGGAAAATATTAACAAAAGTTTGACATTCTTCCGTGAATTTCAGGTAGAGTTTACTTTGAATAAAATTTTGATTCTTAAGACTTTATTACGAAGATGCACGATGGCAAAAATTGGGAACGTGCAGAAAATGATAGCCTTCCGTTAATTCTGGGACACCCTGTATGTAAAACGATCAAATATTTGCACACAGAATTCCAAACTTAAAGACGTTTGATTCTCTCGATTTCTAGGACAATCGCGCGGTCAAAAATACCTCAATCGAGGTCAGTCTTTATTTAGGTGTAACAGAGTGCACATATTAGCGTCTTTTTCCGGAGCAGAAACAAAGAGAGAGAGAGACAGAGATTATCGTGCATGATGTTTCTAACCAAGAACGAGAGAATCACATACTCGAGAACTTGGCGACAATATTGCAAGGAGCAAAGGGGAGAAAGGGAAGTGAACCAGCCACGGGACAGTTCAAACAACCGATTAGCTCTCTCGAGCATCCGAAATCTGCGGGTATCTCGGGGTCGGGAGGGTCATAGGTCGGTACTCAAAACTTTCGGGTTTACCCGCTATTGCGGGCCGACTGCATCTTAAAACACCCCATAATTATCTCTCTAATAGCACACATATCCCGAAAACGTTCGGAGAACATCCTGAGGATGTTCGAATGTCCTCTGAATTTCCTCTAAATGTCTCTCAGATATGTTATGTCAATGAAGCATTACATTACATATGTAACCTAACAGCACACATATCCCGAAGACGTTTAGAAAACATCCTGAGGATGTTCGAATGTTCTCTGGATATCCTCAGAATGTCTTTCGGATATAATGTGCTATTACTAGCACACATATTCCAAAGATATTCAGAGAACATTCTGAGGATGTTCGAATGTCCTCTGAATATCTTTCGAATATGTTATGTCAATCAAGCATTACATTACATATATATCCCTAACACACATGTTCCGAAGACGTTCAGAGAACATCCTAAGGATGTCCGAATGTCTTCTGGATATCCTCTGAATGTCTCTCGGATATGATGTGCTATTACTAGCACACATATTCCGAAGACGTTCAGAAAACATCCTGAGGATGTTCGAATGTTCTCTGGATATCCTCAGAATGTCTTTCGGATATAATGTGCTATTACTAGCACACATATTCCGAAGATATTCAGAGAACAATCAGGATGTTCGAATGTCCTCTGAATATCTTTCAGATATGTTATGTCAGTCAAGCATTACATTACATATACATTACATATATATCCCTAACACACGTATCCCGAAGACGTTCAGAGAACATCCTAAGGATGTTCGAATGTCCTCTGAATGTCTCTCGGATATGATGTGCTATTACTAGCACACATATTCCGAAGACGTTCAGAAAACATCCTGAGGATGTTCGAGTGTTCTCTGGATATCCTCAGAATGTCTTTCGGATATAATGTGCTATTACTAGCACACATATTCCGAAGATATTCAGAGAACAATCAGGATGTTCGAATGTTCTCTGAATATTCTCTGAATATCTTTCCAATATGTTATGTCAATCAAGCATTACATTACATATATATCTCTAACACACATGTTCCGAAGACGTTCAGAGAACATCCTAAGGATGTCCGAATGTCCTCTGGATATCCTCTGAATGTCTCTCGGATATGATGTGTTATTACTAGCACACATATTCCGAAGACGTTCAGAGAACATCCTGAGGATGTTCGAATGTTCTCTGGACATCCTCAGGATATCCTCAGAATGTCTCTCGGATATAATGTGCTATTACTAGCACACATATTCCGAAGACGTTCAGAGAACATCCTAAGGATGTCCGAATGTTCTCTGGATATCCTCTGAATATCTCTCGGATATGATGTGCTATTACTAGCACACATATTCCGAAGACGTTCAGAAAACATACTTAGGATGTTCGAATGTCCTCTGGACATCCTCAGAATGTCTTTCGGATATAGTGTACTATTAGGGCTGGGAATCTCGTATCGGCGCAGTTTCTGGTGTCCAAGAGAGAGAAGAGGGAACCCTAAATAACCCAAAAATAGATCTCGACTAAATTGTGCGTAGAAAATGTTCGTGTTTATGCGGAACCTAATTTGCGGAGAACCGGCGCGGCACGCGCGGTCACGTGGCGCCGTCGAGGTCGAGACGGGAAGGAGGATGACGAGGAATCTCTCTTCCGGCCTGGCGAATCGCGCTTGACAGAAAACACGCATTCTTCCGACAGAAATAAGCTGCGTGTGCGCGTACATATACGTCTTGGCAAGCGATACGGGAGAAGACCACTCGAGTCGCGATCGCGGCGTGCGTCCAATTCCCGACAACCACTCTCTCTCCCTCGTTCAAGGCGGGACAAATAAACGGACAAAGGCGAAATAGAGATCTCGTTATCTCATCCGTGAACGGGAACGACACTACCTCTCGAATTCGCGGCCTTCCCGATCTCAGTCCGATTCCGGTGACGCGCGAAGGAGGGTCGAATTTCTTCGTTCTCTTCCGCGAGGATCCGTGTGTATTTCGAGCCTCTCTACCTCTTTCGCATAATCAATTTAATCTCTCCCGAGATAGCAGATATTCTCGTGCGGTATACGCGAAGCAAAGGAACACCCCTTTGATCCACATATACACACGCACACATACAGGTTGCCTTAATTCGATCAATCTCCGGGAGTTGGTGAGACACGGTAAATGGAAGCGTTCTCTCTCATCCACTTTGTACATCGGCCTCGCGCCCTCGTCGAGCTTCCTCGCGTGCTGTATTAAATATCGCGCGCGCGCGCGCGCGCATGATATCGTAATTAAGTGAATTATATAGTTTGGAAACAACGCCAACTCTCTCGCGCGCGCGAGAGCTCCGGGAAAGTTGACACGTATAATTGGCGGAGTAATGTAATCATTTTTCGAACGATCTCGGCGTTAAACGCGAGAGATACACGTACGTGTTAACAGCGATTTGTCCTCGGAAAAACCGAAAAGCCTTTTTTATGAAACCGGAAAGTCGATAAAACGTCTGGATGTAACGAGATATCAAAGAGTCGCAGAGAGAGAGAGAGAGAGAGAGAGTGGATATGTAGATTGGATCGGCCGGGAGAGATATAACTTTAATCATCCCTAATGCGAGTTTCCGCGCCCGGGAATTTGTTCCGCAGTTTTTCGGAAGCCGAGGTGCACTGGGTGTCCCGGAATTCGCGAATCTAATCGTTAATATTATTAGACTCCGGGGATCATTTGGAGACGACGTTTCCTCGCAATCAGTGAAAATTTCGAGGGAGCTATAGTCACTTTTTCCATGTTTCCAATTTTTGGCACCGAATTCTTTGTTACTACGCTTCAAATTCTATTAAAATAGACTCTACTTGAAATTAATTGAAGAATATATGATCACGTAACACACTGACGTCATTAAATATCAAAATGATATTATTAAACGTTAAAATGACGTCAGTTTGCTACTTTGGTGATTTAGTTAATATTTCATCTCCACAAGATTTAATTTGCGAAAAACCTTCTATTTTCGATCGCTTGTAACTTAAAATTATTGATGCTTTGACATTTTTGCTGAGGAAGACTCCTCTTCAAATAGCAAACTGACGTCATTAGACGTCAAAATGACGTCAGTTTGCTACCTGGGTGATTTTGTTAATATTTCATCTCCACAAGATTTAATTTGCGAAAAACCTTCTATTTTCGATCGCTTATAACTCGAGAATTATTGATCCTTCACATTTTTGTTGAGGAAAACTCATCTCCACATAGCAAACTGACGTCATTAAAATGACGCCAATTTGGTGTTTAATGATGTCAGTTTACTATCTGGATGGTTTTGTTAATATTTTATTTCCACAAGATTTAATTTGTGAGAAACCTATTTTCGATCGCTTATAACTTGAAAATTATTGATCCTTTGACATTTTTACTGAGGAAAACTTGTCTCCAGTTTGCCAACTGACGTCATTAAATGTCAAAATGATATTTTGACGTTTAATAATATTTTAATATTTAATGACATCAGTTTGCTATTTGGGTGGTTTTATTAATATTTTATTTCCACAAGACTTAATTTTCGAAAAATCTTTTATTTTCAATCGCTTATAATTATTATTGATGCACTGAAAGAAAAGCTATTGATTTCAAATAAATGTGTATTCCAATAGTGCCATTAACACCATTTGTTTGAAACAAATAAATACTTGTCTGTTTTGAAAAAGGAGTTCTTATATCAAATAAGTATTTTTTCACGGCAAATCAATATTATTAGTTTCGAACAAATGGTCTTAATGGCACTATTGAAATAAATATTTGCCTGAATTTAATAGCTTTTTTTCAGTGTGCTTGGACATTTTTGCTGAAGAAAACTTGTCTCCAAGTAGCAAATTGATGACGCCAATTTGACGTCTTACGACGTCACTCGACGTCGAAATAAAGTATGGTTCCTACTTGGGATTTAACTTGAAGAATCTGTCACTTTCTTAGCAAATTCGGGACACCCTGTATATAAATGCATCTTGTTCGGTTTGCAGGCCGGCGCGATGTGGCCTGGAGCTCTACCCTTCCTGGTGTTACTAGCGATCCTGCTGCATCCCTCGAGGTAAGTTATTGTTTCGTCATCAGGCCGTTAATTTATAAACGACTCGCTCGTACATATACTTGGACTCTCGATATCGCTCATCTATATTCTGTCGAGTCACGTAAATTAATATATAATATGCAACAGTTTTTGGAACGTCGTCAAGATGACGTGGGGTCTCGTGAGCGGGTCTATGTGTAGCAATCAAAACGTATAATTCCGAGAAAGCGAGTTATATGGCTCGTAAACGATGTACATTATTGACCCGTACAGGATTATTGTTACGGCGCGTAAAGTTTATACTTTAAGCTCAATGTTTTACCTCGACACGTTACGGAAAATTTTCTATACCATTGTTACGAGCGGAACTTAAGGTGGAATCTATAAAATCATTTACATCGACTTCCCGGAATAAGCTATTGTATTAAATTATTCATAAAATTAATCAAAATTAAAACAGTTATTTAAATTAACAATTAAGTACGGTTCGGAAAATTTTCTACGATTGTTACGAGCGGAACTTAAAATGGAATCTATAAAATCATTTATATCGACTTCCCAGAATAAACTATTACATTATTCATAAAATTAATTAAAATTAAAAACAATAATTTAAATTAAAAATTGCATTAAATTAACAATTAAGCACGTTTTGGAAAATTTTCTAAGATTGTTACAAGCGGAACTTAAAGTGGAATCTATAAAATCATTTATATCGACTTCCCGGAATAAGTTTTTGTATTAATTTATTCATAAAATTAATCAAAATTAAAACAGTTATTTAAATTAACAATTGCATTAAATTAACAATTAAGCACGTTTCGGAAAATTTTCTAAGATTGTTACGAGCGGAACTTAAAGTGGAATCTACAAAATCATTTATATCGACTTCCCGGAATAAGTTTTTGTATTAATTTATTCATAAAATTAATCAAAATTAAAACAGTTATTTAAATTAACAATTGCATTAAATTAACAATTAAGCACGTTTCGGAAAATTTTCTAAGATTGTTACGAGCGGAACTTAAAGTGGAATCTACAAAATAATTTATATCGACTTCCCGGAATAAGTTTTTGTATTAAATTATTCATAAAATTAATCAAAATTAAAAACAATTATTTAAATTAACAATTGCATTAAATTAACAATTAAGCATGTTTTGGAAAATTTTCGACGATTGTTACGAGCGGAACTTAAAGTGGAATCTACAAAATAATTTATATCGACTTCCCGGAATAAGTTTTTGTATTAAATTATTCATAAAATTAATCAAAATTAAAAACAATTTCTTAAATTAACAATTAAGCACGTTTCGGAAAATTTTCTAAGATTGTTACGAGCGGAACTTAAAGTGGAATCTACAAAATAATTTATATCGACTTCCCGGAAACAGCTTTTGCATTAATTATTCATAAAATTAATCAAAATTAAAAACAATTATTTAAATTAACAATTGCATTAAATTAACAATTAAGCACGTTTTGGAAAATTTTCGACGATTGTTACGAGTGGAACTTAAAGTGGAATCTACAAAATAATTTATATCGACTTCCCGGAATAAGTTTTTGTATTAAATTATTCATAAAATTAATCAAAATTAAAACAGTTATTTAAATTAACAATTGCATTAAATTAAAAATTAAAAATAATGAAAAGTAAATAAAAATTAAAAAATTGAAAATAATTAAAAGTAAATCAAATAAAAGATGCGGAATAAATAAATAAAATGCAAAACAAAAATTTCAAAAAATAAATACAAAGTTTGGGAAAATAAATGCACATATATGTATGTACTTCTGTCTGCGTTTTCGTGTCATCAATTTTACTTTTGACGGTTGCCGACTCGGGGGAGGCAGATTTCTATTTTTTCCCGGAAATGAGATTCCTCGTACTGACGATGTCGCTGTATTTTTTTTTTTTTCCAGATGTACGCAGACGCCGCAGAAGATGGTGAACTTCCGAGAGAAGGAGAAGCAGGTGCTCGACAACATCCTAGGACCAGGCCGATACGATGCGCGCATCCGGCCGAGCGGAGAGAACAGAACAGGTGAATATAGAAATTCTTGCGCTCCCTTATACTTACTCCCTTACGCCCATCCTCACCATATGTACCGTGTATAATTTTTATATATAGAAGGAGAAAAAAAAACACTTTTTTGCGGCGAGAAATCAGCGCCGGAGAAGTGTGAATATATTATATGGAGAAAAACGAAAGGAAAAAAAACGGGGTGAGAGACGGAGAGATATATATTATATATACACATACATACATAAGTTCGGCGAGAGGGGTTCGAGCTCCCCTCCCCCAAACCTCCCCCTTTGGTCGAGTGCGGAAAATTGAACGCGCGATGTAACGCGCGCATCTATTGACAATACGTGATATATATAATAAGCGAGAGCGAGAGACGAATTGTGCGCGAGTATTTTCCGCACGTCCTTATATACTGGTAGTGAATGCATACCGAGAGTGGCGAGAAATTTCTTCATAAACTTCGCGAATACAGCAGACCGGTTCGGCCTTCGAATCTTCTCGAGACCACCCCGATATCATATAAGCAATATTATTTTTGCGCTCTTGAAATTGTCACATGTTTGTTCCTTTCACAATGTATATGAACCACTCAAAATATGCTAATAATGTGCCAGAAGATTGGGAGAATTGGCATTAGCCATCGACATTTTATGTATAATTAGAAAATAACTATATGTATACACAGGATGAGCTATTTTGATCTATAAGTCAAGGTATCTTCTAAATAATTTTGAATTAAAAAATTCAACACACATAAATGGACTCGCCATAATTTTTTACATAAATAGATTCCTCGCAATGTTCCGCAGAAAAAGTTAAGGGTAAAATAATCAAAAAGTGAATAGTTTAGAAGGGGGAAATTTTATACTTTAATTTGGTATAATTTTTAAATATTCTTATGCACAAAATAATGAGAAAAATTAATTAGTGTAAAGAAAACATATAATTTTATTTTTTTAAGTATGTAATTTGCAATTGACAGGTACATTTTTTTAACAATTGTTTTCTTCATAACTAATTTATTTCTCTTATTATTTTGTGCATAAACGTATTCAGGTAACTTACAAAATATTTTATAGTTTCTGTAGAGTTAAATCAAATTAAAGTATAAAATATCTCGTAAACTATACATTTTTGTACCCTTATAACTTTTTATGCAGAAGATTGCGAGGAATCTATTTACGTAAAAAATTATGGTGATTTTACTTAAAAAACAAAGATGAGCTTGACATTTCCAAGACTCCTCCACCTATCAATTTTTTTGCGATATTCTAATGAGACTCCTTTAATCTCCTTCAACATTTATGTGTTCAATTTTTTAATTAAAAATTATTTAGAAGGTATATTTACTTATGAATTAAAAAGGGTCATCCTATATATAAATATTAAAATATATATTTATATTAATTTATATATAAATTATATAATATAAATATATATATATATATATATATATATATTTTATTTTATTTATAATATCTAATATATAATAAATATATTATATATCATAATATAAATATATTATGTGTTATATATAAATATAAAATTTTAATATTCTTTTACATTAAATATATACATATTTTATGTATAAAGATATTATTGGCGCGTTATAATATACGTCGTACAATTTTCTACACATATACCACATCGAAGTAAAAATTGATCCGAGTTTCAATAAAAAAAGAAAGAAAAAAGAGAGAAAGATGAATCTCACAGTGATGATCGCATTTTACGCGATAAAGTAAAGATTTCGCAAATTCCCCCGAGTATCCTCGAGCAACGTACGCGAAAGCGATGCGCAATTCGTCTTCCAATCTCCTCCACATTACGGGCAAGGTGTATCGATTTTTCTTTTTCCTTTTTTTTTTCACCTTGTTTTTTTTTCAATGTGGCAATTTCGAGTACCAAACGGAATCCCCCGCCCGATATCGATCGTCGTCGACTGCATCGCGATAAATATCGCGATTCCCGTAGTCAGCGGGTCGAGTCGGAGGCAAGATAGATAAACGAAGCCAAGTAGAAACGAGGGATGATGCTGCCTCGTATCAACGAGAGAGAGACGACGACGACGACGACGATTGCTTCGGTCCAGCCGCGTTTATCGTAGCCTAAATCGATTAACTTCTCTCTAGTGGGTTGCACGCGGCCAAGTACGACGGTGCAGCCAAGATACACTAATCAAATATCGGTGTGTATATGACGGAAGTTATCTGGCGCTTTGTCGCTCTTACGAAACGTGTTTGTTTTTAACGTTCCTCCGCGAATAAAGGTCGAGGATCGACTTACAGATCGTTTGCCGAGGCCACAATATCTTTCAGTGATAAAAAATATCTTTTTTTTTTAATCTTTATCAGATTTGTATCTTACGAAATGCTTTTACGTCTGTGTGTATTTAAAGATTTAATAACGAGATACTTTTATCAGTATTCGGGACTTGAAAATTCAATGCGACACTAGTGGTGGTCGCGCGAACTATCATAAATGGCTGTCGCGAATAAACATCAAACATTATCTTATTATTATTTGAAAAATTAATAATGTTCCAGTGATTGCATGAGATTCTGATATGTCAAGGAACTTATTTGTAGACACAAGAAATATAAATCTATTCTTTCTTGACTTTTCATAGTTACACCGCACATAATAATTATGCCGGAATTATTTATAACTTTCTGGCCTTCGATCATATTCCTTGATGAAGGCATGTAGCTTTTGTATAATCGCAGAGTATGTCTAGCCGTAATAACAACATCTTTTTCATTAAAAACATTTATTTTTACACTTAAAACTGTTGTTGTTGTATATTCGCGGCGGCCATATTTGTTTTGCTTCAGTAGCGCCTCTCTTTACCACGGTGGACGTTTCTTTCGCCAATATTAATTTCTGTTTATATAAAGACAGAAGTATAACTGTATGTAAGAAATTCTGACAGGTGTATTAATTGTATACAATTTACATGAAATGTTTGGAGAGACACTCGCCGAATTTGTAGGACTGAAATCGCGAATTGAATTCTAGCCTCGTTGTTAAGAGGCGTAAAAGAGTAATTGAATAAATCGCACACCCAGAGCCGCGATCACGTGTCGCAGTAAAACGGGCGAATGCGACCAGAATATTCCCCAGGCACCGTGTGCCTCCGCAGATTATACAGGGTGTTCCATTTCAATCGATCATCCCCGAAAAGTTTCTTATTTTAGAATACACAACAAAATGTTTCAAACGGGTTGTTTGATTCGACGGGAAACGGAAGATACTGACATTTTTTCTAAAGAATCGCTCTTATTCAAGATTATTTGAAGGTCATTAGTAACTACATATTTTTCTCTTACAAATAACTATATATTTTTTATATTAATTGATTTTTTTCATTATTTTATGCATAAAAGTATCGAGATGAGATTGTGGAAAAATGAATACGAGATATTTCATAGTTTATTTAAAATTATGTCAAGTTTCGGTATAAAATATATATCTCGTTAATTATTCGTTTTTCGATCATCTTATCCTTATAATTTGTTATGCCAAAAATTGCGAGAAATAGATTTATATAAAAAAAAATATAGTGGTTTCATTTAAAAAAGAACGTAAATGACCTTTGAAAGAAAAACTTTGAAAAGCGCACCGCACATCTTTCATCCCCCTTCGAATCAAAAGTTGTTGGAAATATTTTGTTGCATAATCAAAGGTGAAAAAGTTTTAGGGGTGATCGATCAAAATGGAGCACTCTGTATATACACATATTATATATCGCGTTAACTCGTTAGAGAGAAAAGGGGTGCGACTTGAGCGATTTCTTCATTACTCATTTAAAGGCGTGTCGCGCGGTAATAAAGTGTTTTCAGTCATCGGTCTCGAGTCTTCAAAGGCATTTTTGCATGTCGCGAATTCGAAAATATATATATATATATATATATATATATATATATATTCGAACAGAGCGACGGCGCTTTAAACATCGGATCGCGTGCCCCGATAAACGCGACGCTCGTTAATTTTATCGTTCGAGTATTAGCCGTGAATGCGCGCCGCCGAGGGTGAGTTTTTGCCCGGCCGGGAGAAGGGTAGAAATTCATGGCGCTTCGTGCTCGGCCGCCACTTGGACGGCTCGAACGGCAAAAAAAAAGGAAAAAGAAAGAAAGAAGGTGCCGTCAAGATTGCACGCAACCAGATTAACGCCACGGCGGAGGATATTGCGATACGTCGCTGCTGCCACTCTGATTTGCCTCTCTCCGGGCAGTATAATTCGGAGATAGTCGATTATTGCACCCCTCGATCGATCGCGCATTCGTAATTTCGCCCCGTCCGTAATCAACGGCCCGTTTATCGCCGATGACGTCGCGCGACGGCGGAGTTAATCGATCATAAGGGATGGTAAACGCCGCGTATGACGCATTCAAGTCCGGCGTCACACACCTCTCTCGATCGTCCATCCTCTTTCGATCGATCGAGAGATATTATAAATGTATAGAGGGAGAGTATCCTTTCACCGAGATATTCTCACTCTCGTATTCGATAATTGATGAGAATGACGATTTTCAAATTTATAAAATGTCTATATGTATGCAAATCTTTTCTCCACATTTTTTTTTTTCTTAATACAGGGTGTTTCCGAACTGCGGAAAAGTTTCCTGGTATCATTCGGAGACGATTTTTCCTCAGTGAAAATGTCATCAATAATTTTTGAATTATAAGCGGTTGAAAATAAAGAATAGAATTTTTTAATGTAAGGCTTAGTTATAAATAAGAAAAATCGGGAACATGTTAAAAATGATGATCTCTCTCAACATTTTCACTAGGGAAAAATCGTCTCCGAATGATATCAAGAATCTGACATGAAAAACTTTTCCACCAGTTCTGAAGCACCCTGTATACACTCGTATATATTCACGACGTAAGATATTAACAAGCTGTTAATGGTGCTCTGCTCTAGTTATAAAAAAAAAGAAAGTTAAATTATATCTGCAGTTGATGAATTTTCCAGATCCGGAAACTAGATATACCGGAGCAAGAAAATT